GCCCCACATGACCCAGGTGGTGTGATTGCAGGCTGGGTTTTATGATCCCGCAAGAATCTCCTCCCATGAGTAATGGGGACCCAGAGTCCTGTCTTCAGGCTGTGGAGAAGCTGGCTTCCTGTCTCCTGGCCTGGATCCTGGCTGACCTCCCAGCATCCACCTGTTTCTCAGTGCCTTCCCCTGCTCCCAGCTCTCGTTAGACAAGACACCGCTTTGGCTGAAAGCTTAGGCCACGGAAGCAAAGTACCCCCAATATGGTGTCAGTTTTATTCAGCTTTAAGGAATGAAATTATGCCATTTGCAGAAAAATGGATAAAACTGAATATCACTATGTTAAGGGAAAAACAGACAACAACCATCTATGGTTCTCACCTGAAATCCTAGCACCTGGGAATCAGAAGCTCAGAGTCAGCCTTGCTTTTATATTGAGTTCAAAGCCAACTTGGGATATGTAAGACCCTACCACCGCCCCCCCCCCAAAAGCAATAAACAAAAAAAGAAAAACAAAAACCCAACCTAAAGGAATATCTTGTTTTCTCTCATCTCTCATGTGCACTGTGCATGTGTGTGCGTGTGTGCGTGTGTGATGAAAGTAGGAGTATTATATAAGGGAGAATATAAAGGGAATATACAAGAGATGGTGGTGGGGAGAGATAAACAAATACGGATGTTTCTCTCCTATGTGAAAACTTGAGTTAACTCTGTGTGCACATAACATGTAAGCAGAGGGGAATAGTGTGTGGGGAGGAAGGGGACCAATGGGAGGAGGGAGAAGAATATGAGCGGAGGGCAAGGATATGTATGTACGAAAATGTCACGGTTCGGATAGCAAAGTGTATATTGTATGTTTTGTTTTGTTTTTGTTTTTGTTTCTCTGAAACTGGGTTTCTCTGTGTAGCCCTGGTTGTCCTGGAACTTTCTCTGTAGTCCAGGCTGAACTCACAGAGATCCACCTGCCTCTGCCTTCCAAGTGCTGGGATTAAAGGCAGCCACCATCACCCACGCACCCCACCCACCCCAACAGGGCTATTTAAATTTTTTAAATTTATTTTATGTGTGTTTCATATGCAGGCATGTGTGTGTGCACATGAGGGCTTGATGCCCGGGAAGGTCAGAAGAGGGCATCAGATCCCCTGGAACTGGAGTGACCGGTGGTTGTGATCCACCATGTGGATGCTGGGACTCAAACAGATCCTCTGGAAGAGCAGCTAGTGCTCTTGAACACTGAGCCGTTTCTCCATCTGTATTTATTTTATTTTTCAAGACAGGGTTTCTCTGCGTAGTCCTGGATGTCCTGGAACTCACTCTGTAGACCAGGCTGGCCTTGAACTCGGAGATCTACCTCCTTCTGTCTCTGGAGTGATGGGATTAAAAGTATGTGAAACCAAGCCTGGGTTATTTTATTTTATTTTATTTTGAGATAGGGTCTCACCTTGTAGCCCCGGCTGAAGTGGAATTCACCAGGGAGACCAGGCTGTCCTTGAACTCATAGTGATCCACCTGCCTCTGGAGTTCAGGGATTAAAGGCAGTGCCACCATACTGTTATATGTGTTTTAGCACAGAAATACAACAAAAAAATTACCAGGGAGCTGGAGCCATAGCTCAGTGGTTAAAAGCACTTGTTCTAGCAAAGGACCAAAGTTCAGTCCCCAACACCAGCATGGTAGCTCACCAGTGCCTGGAGCACCAGGTCCCCTCTTCTGGACTCGTCAGGCACTGCACATACATGCTGCATAGACATACGTGCAGGCAGAAACACCCATACATGTCAAATAAAAAATAAATCTCAAAAAAAAAAAAGTGGGCACAGTGACATTTACTTTTAACTCAGTACTTGGGAAGTAGAGGTAGGTGAAACTCTATGAATTCAAGGCCAGCCTCGGCTACATAGTAAGTTTCAGGCCAGCCAAGACTACAAAGTGAGACCTAGTCTAAAAAGAAAGTAATATTAATAAATAAATAAATAAATGAAAAGTTAGGACCCGGTCCAGTGGTACACTGTTGTAATCCTAGGGGTTAAGAGGCTGTGGCAAGAAGCTAACAAGTTTGAAGTCTGAAACTTTGAGGCCAGGACCCAACCCCCTAACAAAAGTAGGAAGCCAAACATCCCGAGTTCCATCCACAGAACTGGCATTAGGAGAGAGCTGACTTCCTCTGACCACCACACTCCACAAGCATTCATGTACACATACATGCATGCATGTAAACATACATACATAAAGACAGACAAAATGAAATAAATGTAAAAATCGTCCAATCAAGGCACCCGCAGAGCTCTCTGTTCTCTTGTTCTGCATCTCCCCCTTTCTCTAGCTTTCCTCCTGTCCTGTTGTTGGGGTCTCCCACCACTGTCTTACAATCTGTTCTTTGCACAGTTACTTCCTTCCCCGCGTGTGTAACCAGCTCTCCTCAGCCATGTCCTTGGCACCCTCCCCTTCTCAGCTCAACTGGCTGATCGAGATATTTTCCCAAACAAAACCTGTTCTCACCCTGCTAAATGCACTGCAAACTTGCCATCTGGTGTCTACATGGGTCTCGCGAGAAACCGATGAGGGGGCAGTCACAGCTGAGACTCTGATCGCCTCTCTGCCAGCTGCCAGGCAGAGAGTAGACCCACAGCCTCAGGGGTGGGGGCCGGTCAGGGGAAAGGCATTGGGGGGCAGCCGCAAGGCAGCCTGCCAACACCGTCCCACCTCTCCTTAAGCCAGACCTCAAAAGGGCAGGGCTGCGGGGGAAACGGAGAGACATTGGGTCTTTGAATTGATCATGAAGTCCAGGTGAGGAGGGAGGGGATCAGTCTGAACGGGGCGGGGGGGGGATGCTTGTGGCTCAGAGCCCCTGGGACCAGACAGAGCCAGCTGGGGTGAGTTGGTGACGGAAGACGAGACAGCAAGAAAGTCTCACCTTTGTGGAAATTCTGAGCTTTGGAGGCGGCGGGGTGGGGGTGGGGAGGACGGGGGAGGAGGGGGGAGGGAAAGGGGGTAGGGATTGGGGAGTGAGGGGTCGGAGGGTGCCTCTGGAGCAGTCTAGGGGAGGACAGGAAGTTAAAAGGAAGGACCAAACCCAAGGCTAGAGGGGAGACAGATGGGGAGGGGGGGATCCATCTCCAAATCAGAGGCTAGAGACGAGGTGAGAAGTGTGCCCGGTGAAAACTGCCACCTGATAAGTCTTCACCGGCCTAGGCAGGAACGGTGAGGTGACAAGAACTGACACGTATACCTGTTTGCGACGTGCCGGATGTTGTTCCAGCGCTGCTGACCGAGAAACGGCATGCATGCAGGGCTCACCTGTGATTTTAAGTTGTACGTGAGAAAATGAGGCAAGAAAACACACAGTGGGCTAGCCTTAGCTACTCACTGAGTGCCTACGTCAAAACAAGGACAAGGACACAGATCTGGACAAAAAGGCTGGGCATGGCAGCACACACCTGTAATCCCAGCATCTGGGAGGTAGAGGCAGGAGGATGGGGATTCGAGGTCATCTTTCACTACACGGCAAGTGAGAGGCCAGTTTGAGTTCTGTGAGAACCGGTGACATACTAAAAGAGCAAAGGCAAATTCACAGTTATCACTAATTGTTACTAAAATAGTGTGTGGTGTGTGTGTGTGTGTGTGTGTGTGTGTGTGAGAGAGAGAGAGAGAGAGAGAGAGAGAGAGAGAGAGAGAGAGAGAGAGAGAGAGATGGTCTCACTATGTAGCCCTAGATGACCCGGAACTCACAAAAATCCACCTACCTGCCTTTGCCTCCCAAGTGCTAGCATCAAAGGTGTGCACCACCACACCCAGCAAGACATTCTATTCAACTCAAATACACAGGGCAGGAGAGATGGATGGGTCAGTTGCTAAGAGCACTTGCTTGCTCTTCTTCCCAGGGAACCCGAGTTTAGTTCCTACCACTCTTGTCTGGAAGCTTCTAACTGCCTGTCATTCCAGCTCCAGCAGATCCAGGGCTGTCTTCTGACCTCCTTGGGCAGTACATGTGTGTGGCAGGCACACACACACACACAGAGGCACTATCTACACAACTATACACACAAATAAATAAATTCACAAAAATTCAGAATATAATTTTTGTACCATGTTATCACTAAGGAATTAGAGGAAGTTTATGGGTTTTTTTTTTTTAGTTTTTTGAGATTTTATCTTTTTATTAACTGTGTATGGGTGTTTTGCCGACATGCATGTCTGTGTACCATGTGCATGCAGTGCCCAATGAGACCAGAAGAGGGCATGGATGCCCTGAACTGGAGTCAGGGATGGCTATGAGCTGCTGCTCTGTGATGGCTGGGATCAAGCTTGTGTCCTCTGCAAGAGCAGCTGTCTCTATGTGTAGTGTGTGTGAGCACGCAGGTACCCTCATAGGGCAGAGGCATAGATAGGATCTCTGGGAACTGGAGTTACCGGCGGTTGTGAGTCACCTGATGTGGTGTGGGGAACTGAACTCAGGTCCTCTGCAAGAGCAATCCATGCTGAGCCATCTCTTCTATCCCCTTTATGTAAATTATTTTGTATTAAGTCTCCAAAATCAAAACTGATTGAATGTGCGTAGCATACCTCAGTTTGGAGGAGCCATGTGTCAAGAGTTTAACAAGCACAGGTTACCCCAATGGATAATGCAGTCTGAACTGTTCAGAGATACTCATTTCTTCTGCAGAGCCATGCTTTGTTACTCAAATTTATACTAAGAACATCACAATATAAAAGTTTGAGACAGCCAGTCGTGGTGGTACACACTCAGGAGAAGACAGAGACAGGTGGATCTCTGTGAGTTTGAGGCCAGCCTGGTTTACAAATCAAGTTCCAGGACTGCCAGAGCCATTGTCCAGAGAAATCCTGTCTAGAAACAACCCCTCCCCAAAAGAAGTTTGGGATTGAAGAGATGACCCAGTGGTTAAGGACACCGACTGCTTTTCCAAAAGACCCAGGTTTGATTCCCAGAACCCACATGGTGGCTCACAACCATCTTTAACTCCAGTTCCAGGGGTTCCCATGCCCTCTTTTGGCCTCCACAGACACCAGGAACGCATGTGGTACAGAAACATACATGCGGCCAAAACACTCATTCACATAAAATAATAGCACAATAAAAACTGTAAAATATATGGCTTAAATGTCACCAAAAGGAAAAATAATCAAGTTAGCATCTGAACCTGTGAGCTCAGCCTCCCTTGTTTGGGCAGTGCAGTCATGATTCCAAATCTCAGCTCCCGGGACTTAGTAACTAAGTAAGAAGGTTGCTGGTCATTGGTGTGTGCCAGAGAGAAAGCATCCTGTTGTTCAGGTGACCTGGGTAGACTCTGATGCTACATAACATGAAAAGTGTGAGGTGAACCACTTTACCAAGTGTTTTCAGTGACCGTCGGGGAGGAAGAGGGAGGAGGATCTCTGAGGTCAAGTCTAGCCTGGTCTACAGAGCAAGTTCTAGGACAGCCAGGGCTACACAGAAAAATTGGTCTTGTAAAACAAACAAAAGCTAGCACTCTAATTAACAGGCTTACAATTTATTTTTCTCCAAGAATTCAGTGTGTGTGTGTGTGTGTGTGTGTGTGTATAGTCAATAACCTTTAATTCTCCACTGAGCTGACCGTGGTGGTGAGCCATGTCTTCCCAAGTCTTACAAACTTTCATTGTATACAACAGTCCCTGAACCTGGCCACTTAGAACTGTGACACAGCTGGGCATGGTGGTATACTCCTATAATCCCAGCACTTGAGAGGCTGAGGCAGGAGAATCACCCTGAGATCAAGGCCAGCCTGGGCTACATAGTGTATACAGTGAGCTCATTGCCAGCTACTGAGTGAGTCTGTCAACAAAAAGGAGGTGTTGAGGCGGGGCGGGCTTGGCTGGGATATGTAACCTAATGAGAACTTATCTGCCTAAATGACACTGTGAGTTACAGTCTTAGCACCACACAGAAATAAAAATAAGAAATCCCTCATATTTACACATGTTCACAGTTTTGTTTTCCTCCACTGCTGGAGAACCTTATCTGCGTTGAGCACGTGGTTTCACTCTCTTGCTGTTCTCTGATAAGCTCCGATTCTGAGGAAACATTTCCAAGAACACAGGAAGAGCGAACGCCACTCTGTAACAGGGCCCAGACCTTAGTAAGCCCCAGATCTTAGCACAACTGACTCCATGGTGGAAGTACCATTCAGGCCATAAAACTCAGCACATAGACACCAACACTGCCAAAACTAAAACAAAGGCCTAACCCATCAAAGTTCATAGTTCTGGGAAAGTCTCAAAAGTACTAACCTTGCTTTTTGGCTCCTGTGGTTCTGCTTCTGCTTCGGGCTAACTGTTGTTGTTAACTGAAATATGCCAACCCAGGACATGGTTTCTGTGATTAAAAGCTCACCCTGAGAAAGGCTTGGGTCTACACTGGGATCCCAAGTATCCAGTATAGCCACTGGCTATCTAATACAGAATTTCTTTTTCTTTTTCCTTTTCCCTTTCTTTCTCTCTTCCTCTCTTTCCTTTCTTCCTTCTTTCCTTCTTTCCTTCTTTCTTTTAAAGATTTATTTATTGAAACTGTAGAGACGGCTCAGCTGTTAAGAGTGCTGGCTGCTCTCCCAGAGGTCCCGAGTTCAATTTCCAGCAACCGAATGGTGGCTCACAAGCATCTATAATGAGATCTGGTGCCAGAACGAGTTCTAGGACAGCCAGGGGTACACAGAGAAGCCATGCCTCAAAATAACCAACCAAACAAACCCAAAACCAAACAAACAAGGATCGCCAGGGCCAGTGAGATGGCTCAGCCAGTAAAGGTGCTTCCTCACAAGCCTGGACCCCTGAATTTGATTCTTTGGACACTTGTGACATTAAGGGGAAAAAAAAAACCCGGCTCTACAACTGCCCTCTGACCTCTCTACATGCACACTGTGGCACGTGTGCCCACCCGTCCACATCATGCGCACAGACACATGAATGGACAAATACGCAATGAAAGGAAGAAAGAAAGAAAGAAAGAAAGAAAGAAAGAAAGAAAGAAAGAAAGAATAAATATTTTAAAGAAGAGAAAGAGTGGTCAGAGTAGGGAACTTTGGAAACACCAGAAATGAAAAAAATTAAGTCAACAATCTACAAAATTCCTTGTTTGTCCTGGCTTCTAGAAGTGTCTAAAAGGTCAGTGTGGTGGTATGGTCCTTTAATCCTTAGAGAGCCAAGGATGGCTGGGTGGTCCTCTTTGAGCTGGAGGCCAGTCTAGTTTACATAGTGGGTTTCAGGCCAGCAAGGGCTTTAGTGAATGGGTCCTTGTAGCTCGGTCTTTCCAAAGCCTCTAAAAGGGAACCTTCCTGTGTTATACAAGCTGCTTCTAAAAATATCCGCATCCCTGCACCTGTTCACGCTAGTACTGAAACTACAGGTGGATTTACCACTGGTGGACTTAGCATTTGTGCACACACACAGTGTTTCTGTAATAGAACTGTTTTGTGGAAAAACACACAAGATGCTGGTGATTGCAGCTCAGATTTAAAGAGGGTTTTTTTTGTTGTTGTTTTTTCTTGTGGGCTTGGGTTTTGTTTTGTTTAGAAAAAGAAAGCACAGAACGGTATTGAAGACTCATTTAAGAATGGTCTCCTCGGACACTGAAAAATTAGCCACACTGGAGTTCAGGTAACGGGGCTCTGAGCTGTTTTTCTCATTCATCTTCCCACTTGGCTGAATTTTCCACTTCTTTTTGCCAGAGCTTATGTTACTGTTCATAATGGAGGGGAATAAACGACTGTCATAGAATACTGCTGGGGAGGCCAAATGAAAAGGAACCCAGATTCTATGCAAAAAGAGAAGATGAAAGAAACGGGAAGCCAGCCAAGAGCCAGGGGGAAGGGCAGAGTTTGCCGAAGCCAAACGGAAGCTGGACGCATCAAGCAATAGGATCTTGGCTTCTGGACCAGTGAATTTTATGCCTGGGCTTCGCCGGGAGGAAAGAGCGTTTAGTTCATCCAACACAGTGGAAGCCTCTAAGTAAGTGAGCACTGGAAGTCAATATGGGACCACTGGCCTGAGAAGCTTAGAGCCCTGGCTACCGACAGGTGGCGTGCTCAGCACCTGATGGTGGTCTTTAAAGAAGCAGCTATGGAGGCTATGGAATCTGGGTATGGCCGGCGGTGTCTAGCTGGAATCCCAGCACGTGAGAAGTTGAGACAGGAGGATCAAAATTTCAAGATTGTTGGGGTGGGGCACATCTTTTTTGTTGTTGTTTGTTTTTTTCAGAGACAGGGTTTCTCTGTGTAGCTTTGGAGCCTGTCCTGGAACTCACTCTATAGACCAGGCTGGCCTCAAACTCACAAGAGATCCGCCTGCCTTTGCCTCCCAAGTGCTGGGATTAAAGGTGTGTGCCATCACTGAGTGAGTGGAGGGACAGCTTTAATCTCAGGAGGCAGAGGCACAAGAGTTATCAAATTAGTTCCAGGACAGCCAGAGCTACATAGTGAGATGAGAGAGAGAGAGAGAGAGAGAGAGAGAGAGAGAGAGAGAGAGAGAGAGAGAGAGAGCGAGAGAGAGAGAGAGAGAGCAAACTGTTGGGAGGGGGAGCAGAGGCAGGCATGTGGTTGCTGGGAATTGAACTCAGGACCTCTGGAAGAGCAGACGGTGGTCTAAACCACTGAGCCATCTCTCCAGCCCCTACAAAGCAAGTTCTAGGACAGCTAGGGCTGCGCAGAGAAATCCCATATAGAAAAACGAAACAAAACAAAGCAAAAGACGAAAAGAAAAAGAAAAAAACAAAACCTGGCATGGTACTCTTCTTTTGTTTTTTGTTTTTCAAGACAGGGTTTCTCTGTGCAGTTCTGACTGTCCTGCAACTTCCTTTATAGATCATGCTGGTCTCGAACTCATGGAGATCCACCTGCCTCTACCTCCTGAGTGTTGAGATTAAATGTGTGCAATGTAGGACCCAGCTCAATAGAGGCCTGAGTCTCAATAGTCTACCCTAAGGCAATACCTGGTCCCAAGATAGACCCTGAACTGAGACCACCCAGGCACCACCCAGGAACAGACTGTCTAAAGGAAATTCCTAACGTTCCCACCGTTGTAGAATAGAGTCATCTGCCAGCACACACCCATCGCCTTTCACCAGGACACACTGTGCAATGTCAGCCTGAACCTTAGAAATCCCTCATCCCCATCTTTGGTACTATAAAAACCCAGCTCTAACTGAGCTCGGGGCTCTCCGATCACTCCAATACATTGGACAGAGTTTGCAAACTTGTATAAGAATCTTTTACATACCGGACTTGGTCTTATGGTTGGTTTTGGGGGACTCTGATCCAGGCATAACTTGCATCACCACTGCCTAGAAGCCAAATTCTTCTCCAAGCAACTCTCCTGAGATGCTTTGTCTCAGCAATGAGAAAAATAAATAATACACCAATTAAGCCAATTTGAGAAAAGTTTTTGTTCCTTCGACCAAAACTAGCCAAACGATGCTCCTGCCTCCCACCCCATGTCCCGGAGCAAAGCTGTCCTGTTCAGAAGCCAGAACATGGAGTCCAAATGGGTCATCCAGTGCCTAGCCAAAGACAAATTCAAGTCCAAAGACTGAGCTCACCGCTGACAGCAGAATTCCTTCTTGCTAAGGAATGGGACCTGAGCCATTTCAAAAGCAGTGGGTGGCCAGCTCCCTAGGGTTAAATCCACTCCTGTGCTGCCAGGAGGGGTCTGCCTCCCTCCTGTTGTTAAAGGTCCCAGGGTATCCCAGTGGATGCCAATTCCTGGGAGTGGGAAAAAAGCTACCTGGTTCTATCTAAGCCTACAGGTTTTGATCCATTCAACTGTCTTTAGTTGGCTTGCTTGAGTTTTTTGTCTGAAGTTGTGGTGGTGGTTTTTGACACTGGGGATTTAACCCCCAGCCTCACTCTTGCTAAGCCTGTACTGCAGGCAGTGTGAGCATACTCCAGGTCCTTAACTTTCCTTGTCGCTGAGAACTGGGCTTTTCCCTTGAGAGTCTTTCCCATTTGTGTGGCAATTTACGATCACAGTGTAAATGAGTAAAAGGCCTACTTCTCTCTCATCTTCTGGAAAACTACTAGGAAGTCAAGGTCAGGCTCACTGGAGTCCTCAACCCTGGGTGGGCAACATTCCTCACTAATGACCCCCCCACACACACACCAGATGTGATAAAAAAAAAAAAAACTGCCCTCAAGCCGCACTGCTTGAGGGACCTAATTTCAGAAGCCATACCCTATCTAACTGAGCCTGAAGGAGGGTCAGGCTTACCCGGCAGGCCAGTCAGAGTAAACAGCTGCAGCCTATAGTTCCTTAAGGGTCTATGCGTAGGGAAGCCACACAGACCCTACCCTGGGATCCTCTCTTCAGAGAGTAAACAGCCAGCTTCTGTGGGTTAAAGCCCTCTGGACTTTGGTGATCCCAGGTCCCGATCTGCTCCCTCCAAACAAGGAGACAGGGGAGATGAGGATATAGGCAACGGGGCTCTGTTGTGGTGTGCCTTGAGGGATTCTCGGATGTCCTGGTGAAGCCTTAGGTCCCCAGGAGCAGGAATAGGTGAACATCTGAGCCCTGTGGAACTGGTGTGGTTCACAGTTGATTCTCAGTGGCGCAAGTGAATGTCGGGGAGAGAGAAGGTGGAGAGGTTCTCCTGGTCTGGTGGCACAAATCTGTAATCTTCGAATTGGGAGTGGCAGAGGAGGGCTAAGGAAAGAGGGTCAAGAATTCAAGGCCAGGAGCCGGGCCACGGTGGCACTTGCCTTTAATCCCAGCACTCGGGAGGCAGAGGCAGGTGGATCTCTGTGAGTTCGAGACCAGCCTGGTCTACATAGCTAGTTCCAGGACAGGATAAGGCCAGCCTGGACTACACAGGGGGGCTGTCAAATAAGTAAATAAACAAATACAACCAACAAGAAGGATTTATTTATTTTTTTTTTGTTTTTCAAGACAGGGGTTCTCTCTGTAGCTTTGGAGCCTATCTTGGAACTAGCTCTGTAGACCAGGCTGGCCTCAGACTCACAGAGATCCACCTGCCTCCACCTCCCACGTGCTGGGATCAAAGGTGTGCATCACCACTGCCTGGATGCTTTTTATTTTTTGAAACAGGCTCTTGCTATGTAGTTTAATCTTGTGATTATCTTACCTCTGTCTCCCAGGTGCTGGGGACATGAGCGTGTGCCACCTTTCCTGGCTGTTGTGGAATCTGCATGAAGAGAACCTTGAGCATTGTTGACAAGAGAGAGAGCCATGGTTCTTTAGGGGACCATAATGACTGTATCTCCAGAGAAGTATAGATGTTCACCTTGACATCTATTGGGCCCTCAGGAGGCACCGGTCTTCCAGATTCTCTTGTACAGTCTTTCCGGCCATCAGCCATGCTCCCACCCAGACGACTGCCGTGAACAAGGCTGGTGGCACTGTTAGGGTGTCCTGACGACGTGCAGGTGTGTCACCATGTTTGTTGTGTCTAAGAGATCAGGGTCTGACTTCTGGGTTTTGTAATCCTCTGCCCCAGCCCCAGTAACTCCCAGGCATTTCCTAAGACAGACAAAAATGCTTGTAAATTAATTAGCGTCACTGACACAGGTTTACCCCAATGCAAAGAAACGACGTCGGTCTAAAGCTGGACTTTCAAAGCTGGGGAACGTGTGGGGAGAAACACTTTCCCTTTTGTTTGACAACAGAGGAATCTTTTTGTCCTTTTTATTACGTGTGTGTGTGTGTGTGTGTGTGTGTGTGTGTGTGTACACGTGTATATGCCACGGTGTTTATGTGACTGTCAGAAAACATCTTTAAGGAGTTAGAGCTCTCCTTCCACCATGTGGGTCCTGGGGATTGAACTCAGGTCGTTGGACTTGGTGGCAAGCGTCTTTACCCACTGAGCCTTCCCACTGGCCCCTCTGAGCTGATGAGGCTATTGGAATAGAAGAATAGAAGGTTCTAACTTTGTGGAGCACCTTCCCATAAGGCTGTCTGTCTGAAGGTTTGCAGATCCGACATCTTTCTGATTAGCTGATAAAACAGGAAAGAATTAGGGGCTGGAGAGATGGCTCAACAGTTAGGAGCATATACTGCTCTTCCCGAGGACCTGAATTCAATTCCTGGTGCCTGATGTGGGTTTCCCCTCTGTATGCTGTGAATATGTTTTATTATTACCATTGGTTAATAAAGAAGATGCTTTGAGCCTATAGCAACACAGAATAGAGCAAGGCGGGAATTCCAAGCAGAGATAGAGAAGAAAAGAAGGTGGAGTCAGGGAGACACCATGTAGCTGCCAAAAGAGAAAGACACAAGCCATCATCCAGAGCCTTACCACCTCGTGGTGATTCACAGATGAATAGAAATGGGTTAATTTAAGATATAAGAGTTACTTAATAAAAAGCCTAAGCTATTGGCCAAGCAATGTTGTAACTAATATAGTTTCTGTGTGATTATTTTGGGTCTGGGCGACCAGGAAATGAACAAGCAGCCTCCATCTCCAAGCACCCATCTCACAACTGCTTGTGACTCTAGCTGAGTGGGCGGTGGTGGCGCACGCCTTTAAACCCAGCACTCAGGAGGCGGAGGCTGGTGGACCTCTGTGGGTTTGAGACCAGCCTGGTCTACATAGGAAGTCCAGGATAGTTAGGGCTACATAGACTCCCTGTCTCCAAAACAACAAAGTGGGGTAGGAGATTGAAGAGAAAAGGAGGGGAAAGAGAAAGGAGGAAAGGGGAACTTTGGCTTTGGAAACCTTAGAACATCTTCCAAGTTTTTGCTATGAAATTCCTAGAGAGACTGGAAAGGCTTTTACTTTCCTGTTCTTGGTTTTGCTTTGAATTCTGTTTTTTTGTTTGTTTGTTTGTTTGTTTGTTTTTTCAAGACGCACACAGACAGCCTTGATTGTCCTGGAACTCACTCTGTAGACCAGGCTGGCTTTGAACTAGAGATCTGCCTGCCTCTACCTCCTGAGTGATGGGGATAAAGGTGTGTACCATCGCTGCCTGACTCACTTTCCGGCTTTTAATGCAGCGATGGGAATAGAGCCCAGAGCTTCATATACTCTACAGCTGAGCTATCTCCCGCCATCATTTTGTGTGGTTTAAACGGTTTGTGGCTGTGTTGTTTTTATTGTTTACATTTATTTCATATATTCAGAGGATAACTTCCAGGAGTTATCCAGGTTCTTTCCTTCCATTGTGTGGGTCCCAGGAATCAATGTCAGATCATCCAGCTTGGCGACAAGCACCTAACTCGCTGAGACATCTTGTTGGTCATTTTGTTTGTTTGTCTTCTTGTGTTTTTGAGACAGTGTTTCTCTGTGTGACAGCCCTGGCTGTCCTGGAACTCACTTTGTAGACTAAGTTGGCCTCGACTTTATAGAGATCCTCCTGCCTTTACCTCCCGAGTGTGGGGATTAAAGGTGTGCACCACCACCAGGCCTATTTATTTTTTAAACAATAAAAGAATAAAGGCACAAAATCTGTCTCTATGAAGGTGAAGGTGCTGGGCAGCTCTTGACCACAGGGAGGCGTGTTCTCCCTAGTCGGGAGCTAAGAACCAACTATGGGGTCTGTGACTATGTCCAGCCTTTTCCCTTGCAGAAATAAGATAGCTAGCTCCCCAGAAACCAAGGGCCAGGAATCCCAGGGACCCCAAATCACTTCCCCTATTCCAGAAACTCCAGCAGCTGAGTGTGTGTCTGGTGTGCAGAGTCTGTGGGGAGGAGGTCATGTTTAAATTACAGACTAGGCAGGAATGCTGTGTTGGCAACTTTGCCCAGAAGCCAGCAGGGCGGGCGGTGTCTGGGGCATGACCTGGTGATGGCTGCCATGAGGGTTAAGGTGCTGGGTGGAGCTGGCTGCTAAGGGCCGGGAGAGCGTGGGTGTGACAGCCACAACAGAGACGGGGCTACACAGGGCGGGTCAGCGGTAGCTCAGTCCTGCCAGAGCTGGGGTTATGTCCTGTGATTTAGGCAAAACCTACTTTTTTTATATATATATAGTAAGAATATCTGTGGTCTGGCAACAGTCTCGCTCCCTTGACCTTACCCTCTTTAGTGGTAGCTCTTCTGCCCACTTCAATGACTAGCTTTTAACCAAGTGACACACTTTTCTTCCTTTCTCCCTCCCTCCCTCTTCCTCCCTCCACCACCCTCCCCACCCCACCCAGGACAGGGATCAAAACCAACCACCAGCAGCCAATGAGAACACATTCAGAGCCAGCGGCACTCCACCACCAAATGACATCTCTAGTCCTGTTTTTACCCCGCCCCCCAGAATATGTCCCCGCGTTGTCTAGACTGGCCTTGAACATGTGGTCCTCCTGCCTCTGCCTCCCAAATGCTGGGATCACAGCTCTGCCTCCTGATCTTTATGTAGGCTTCTCGCTTGGTAGAAAACTCCCTCTGCCTCTCTCTCTCTCTCTCTCTCTCTCTCTCTCTCTCTCTCTCTCTGCCTAGCCAGAATTGATCTTCCTTCAGTGCCTTCCTCAAGCCCCACCAGTCCTAGGACGTGAAAAGGGGAACTTTTCTTCCTTATCCACCATGGTCATGTGACTAATTCCACCCCTGGCTTGAGCAGGACCCCGATAGATACCTGAATGAATGAACGAGGTATCTGCCTCTGAGTTGACAGCTGAGACTGCCCAGAACTTTCACTTGGCAAACCATCCGGTCCTGCCGGTGACATCTCTCCTACTGAACTGTTGTGTTTATTACCTCTTGAGCCTGTGTGGTTAAACAGGGCTCGCAAGATGTCAGCAACATCAAGGAATTGAGTTGCCTCATTCAGCTACAAAATGGACAGGCAGGCAGGAGGGAAGACAGGGACTTGGAAAGATGCAAAGGGAAGGAAGATGGTTTTTTTTTTTTTATGGTTTAAACTTTATTTCATGTGCATTGGTGTGAATTTGTCAGATTCCCCTGCAACTGGATCTTCAGAGAGTTGTGAGCTGCCATGTGGGTGCTGGGAATTGAACTCGGGTCCTCTGGAAGAGCAGTCAGTGCTCTTAACCACTGAGCCATATCTCCAGCCCCAAGGAAGATGGTTTTTTTTTTTTTTTTTTTTTTTTTTTTTGTCCTCTAAAGGTTTCAGCATTACCCGCTTCTGCAAACAGCCTTTCTAGCCCCAGAGGATGGCTGTCTGCTACTGCTCTGGCTTCAAATCCTTCCAGCTCAGCAACCTAGAATGTGCTTCTCTAGTTCCAAGTCTAAACTCCTGGTAGAAGTTCTGGCTCATGTAGGTCTCTCATTTTTCTTATCGACCAGTCACTGTGGCCCAAAGTCAGATGATTGGCAGTCCTCCCTTGGATAACCAGAGAAAGAGAAGGGGATCTCCAGACCACGTTGGAGGGCTTGAGTGAGCCTTTAGGAAGAGCTGGGGCCACAGTCTGACGTCTATGCCTTTGTCGGTGATGGTGTTTGTGTTCTTGTGTTCATTCTTTTTGGAGTTGGGGAGGAGACAAGGTTTCATGTGTCTCAGGCTGGCCCCACACTCACTATGTAGTCAAGAATGATCTTGAATGTCTGGATCCTCTTGCCTCTCCCTTCTATGCGCTCAGACTTTTCTGAGATCAAACCAACTAACGGGCAGGGTGTTTTGGAACTGAGAGTGGAGACCAGGGCCTCACGTGTTAAACAAGGGCTCAACCATTGAGATGCAGGTCCAGCCTGCTCATATGCTTTGCATAGCCGTTTTCTGAGGTCAGAATCAGTGGAAGGCTTTTGTTACTGCTTGTTTTGAAATTGTTTATTCATTTTATATGTATCAGTGTTTCGTCTGCGTGTGTGTCTGTGCTATGCCTGTGCCTGGTGCCTTGGGAAGCCAGAAGGGAGTATAGATGTCCTTATAGGACTTATGTTACAGAAGAGTTCAGGCCACCGTGTGCTCAATTGGGAATCAAACCCAGATTCTTTGGAGGAAAAGCCAGGGCTCTTAACTGCCAGCAATCTCTCTACCCTCTATTTGCTTGTTTTTGACACAGGTCATACCTAGTTCAGGCTGGTCTTGACCTTAAGAAGTGGTTGAGGGTGACTTTGGAGCTGGCTCTTCACGCCTCCTCCTGAGCTGAGGCCGATGACAGGCAAGAGCGAACAACACACTTGGCTTATCGGGTGCTAGAGACTGAACCCGGGGCTTCCTGGCACGCTGGTTAAGCACCCTACCAACTGAGCTACATGTCTAGCCCTGAGAATCAGATGAAGTTTAAAGACTTTGCCCAGGGTCACAGGTCTAAGATTTGTGGATTCCAGAATCTATTGTATTTTCAGTTCCTGTCGCTGCAAGACCCTGGGTTGGTCATCTAACCTGTTTGTAAGCTCCATTTCCTAATCTGGAACATGGGGGGTGATTATGGCACCTGTCCCTTGGGGTTGTTATGAGGCTTAGGAAAATGACCGGCTTGATCCCCATCAGTGGACTGCTAAGGTTGGTATTGTTGAAACTAATATCACGAGACCTCCCACAGGGTCACGAGTCGGCCACTCCTTGTCGGAAGAGAACCAGATCCCGTGGGAGCTCCTCTCTGGTCCAGGTGCTCCAAAGACTCAGCGCAGGCGCTGCCTGGGAAAGTTGGCCGTGGAATCAAGGGAACAAAGGCTCCAGGTGCTCCGATGGCTGATCCTGGCTTGAGGCCAGTTTCCTGCTCGATCGGGTTGCTCTTGGCTGCCCAGGTTCAGGGAACTTACCCCTTGTTCCATGCTCCTGCCTCTGCCAAACGGTAGGCTGAGCAATGCGCTTGGCACCACAGGACAAGATGGAGCTTGGTCTCTGTACTTCCTCTCCGGAGCCCAGTATGGACTGAAGCCGGAAGTCCTGGAGCACGAGAAGGGACCTTTGCAGGTTCTCCTTCCTGCTCAGTGTCCTTGTAAACCCTCTGAGGATTGAGGCTAGGATCAGAGACAGGGCTTGAAAGCCCTCGGGAGAATGGAGCAGCGGGGTGCCCTAGGGCATGCCAGCCAGGCTCTCTGTAACTCATTTCTTACTGCTTTTTTTTTTGGGGGGGGGTGGGAGGTAGTGAGAGGGGGTTGTTCGTGGTTAAAGCCTGTGCCAAGTTTGCAAATTCCCTCGTGTCCTGTACAAAGCCTTCGCGAAAGGGACCTTCAGTTCCAGCGGAGGGTGATCATTGTGGCGCACAAACTAGATCAAGTTTTGAAAGGTCTTTCAAGCCTGCCTCAAAGCCCAGCCTGCTTCACCCCAGCGGGCTCCCAGCCAGCAGCCTGCACCATGCTCCGCTCATGTGGTTAGTTTGTTGCCCTGGGACTTTCTGCTCACTGGTCCCTTCGCTGGGAACACTTTGTCCTCCAGGTCTTCCTGTGACTGTTCTTCTCGCGCAAGCGTTCAGGTGTGTTCTCAGGTGTTAACTCTTATTTATTTTTGATTTTATGACACACAATTTCTCTGTGTAGCCCTGGCTGTCCTGGAACTCACTCTATGGACCTGGCTGGCCTGGTCCTCATGGTTCTGCCTCCTGACGGCTGGGATTAAAGGTGTGTGCCTCCACTCACCACCTAGCCAGATGTTACCTCCTAATAAACCTTACAGGCCTGGAGAGGTGGTGCAGTGGTTAA